CAGACCACAGGTGTGTGAGGACCCCTGGGCTGCAGACCACAGGTGTGTGAGGACCCCTGGGCTGCGGACCACACAGCGAAGACTCAGCCTAGGCCACAACCCTTCTCTCCTGGGGCCACACTTCACAGACCTGGGGACAAGCAGCCTCCTCTGCTCCCCCAACCCTGGGCTTTTCTGGAAGACACTCTGAGAGTCCTTTGTGGCGAGGCCCTTGCCCAGTGGTCAGGGGTAGCTCCTGGTGGGGCCGCCGCTGGCCTGGAGGCTAAGAGCGCTCTGGTCTTTCCTTGCAGGGGGCCGAGGGGCAACGGCCAGGATTTGGCTACGGAGCCAGAGCGTCTGACTACAAATCCACCCACAAGGGCTTCAGGAGAGCTGACGCACAGGGCACTCTGTCCAAGATCTTTAAACTGGTAATGTACCTCCTTCCTGTCTTCAGGGCTAAGACCTGAGTGCTGTGTCTAGGCTGTGTTGGACTGGGGACCCCAGGACACCCTGTGCCCGTAGAACAGCCACCAGGGGTAGGGAGAAGAGCCTGGATTAAATGCAGAATCCCTAGCAGAACTGAGCCCCAGGGCCGTGCAGCCTCAAGTCATGGCCCAGAGCACACGCTGAATGCACTCTCCGCCCCAGTGGGAGCAGGGGGCCTGGGCGAGTGGCGTGGTCTGTACTTCCACGCCAGCATTTTCTGAGCTTAATTCACAAGGAGGTATTTTAGACAATGTTCTCACATTGGGTCGTTCACCAGCGTCTCTGGAGGGTTTGCTCAGCTGGAGGTATGGGGAGCCAATCTGGATTCCAGGGCCTATTCCAGCTGGATCTGAGCCACCAGGGTGTCCTGTGGGGGTGGGTGGGAGACCAGCAGACTGGGGGAGGGTGTTGGCACTGCGGTGAGGATCCCAGGAAACTACAGGAAGGAGTGTCCTGATGCAGACCCGGAGCCACATGGCCCAAGGTGGGTGCCTGGCCCACTGTTGGTCACACGTGTGATCTTGGCCTCTGGTCTCTGTGAGGCTTGGTTTCCTGGTCTGTGAATGGGGCGACATGCCAACTTGCCTTGCCAAATAGCATGAAGAGAAGGTGCTGCCCCCTGCAGTGTGGTTCTTGCCTGTGCGGCCGGCCGACTGTGGTTAATAGGGCAAACTTTGCTCTGAACACCTTCAATCTTAGAACGTCTCTCGAACTGAGTCAGAGTGCATGTAAAACGTCGGCACGAGCCTAGATAGCACAATGGAGTACCCACGGCACTGGCGCTGACATCTCTGCCTTGTAGGAGACCAGGTTAGGCAGAGCTGGGAGACCTTTGCAGGGAGTCAGACGGACACCTGCTGTCCAGAACCCTATACTGAATCAAGCTCCAGGCTCTCCCCTCAGCACAGGCCACCTGAACACCACTGGCCTGGAGGCCAAGGCAGCTGGAGCACACTCTGGGGCCAGGACTCTGCTCCCCAGGCCCCAGGGGAGACTTGACCCTCGGGCCAGGCTCTGAGAGGCAGGCCCTGGACAAACCCTCCCTGCACCTGCAGGTGATCTTGCTGCCTCCCTTCCGCTCTTCCCTTCCTCACATCTGCGAGTCTGGTGGCCTTGTCTGGATGACAAGAGGACAGTCCAAGAGATTCCACTTCTGTTCATTTTAGGGCACAATTCAATTCCAGATCAACCCTCAACATGAAGAAGAGCTCTCACTCAGCCTCTGTCCATTCCCAAACCATCTCACGACCTCCAAGGTCATAGTAATTTCCAAACAAGGCCTCCTGGGTGCCCAGACCCTGGGGCATGAGAGCCCAAGAGGCACCCACTTAAGGCTGTGGGCAGAGGCCTCAGGACAGCAGAAGTGACGTGAGCCCGGGCAGGGCAGGTGAGCAGGAAGGTCCTTACCCAGCCCCTGTACCCAAGACAGGCCCAGGGGCTCCCAGGGTCCTGTGGTTCTAAGCCCGGTGCCCCTTTCCACAGCACTGCTGGCGGGGGGCGGTCCTGAAGGAGGAGACGGAAACCCACAGCCTGACTCAGAGGCCCATTCCCTGGTGAAAAGGACACGGTGGCCGTGAGCCACATCAGGGAAACTATCCTGGTGTCAGGCAGGTGCCCCCCCTGGGCAGGAGGTGCTCAGTGGGTCACTCAGCTGGACAGCAGAAGGAACAGGTGGGACAGGCCTGGGGGCTGGGGCCAGGAGGGGTCAGAGCAACCCCTGGGCAGAGTTCTGTAGCCTCCAAGCAGCCAACAACCATTATGAGGGGAGAGGCCTGCAGTCCAGTGAGAGACCAGTGTGACTGGTGGTTAGTGCAGAGACATCCATCAGTGCCTCTGGCAGACTCCCGTAAGGACAGTAACAATTGGAATTCCCTGGCCTGGCTGAGAGGACAGACCTGTGGATCCGTGGGGCCATACAGCCAGGCCTTGGCTGGGGCAGACTAGGAGCTGGGAGGAGCCAGAGGAGTGGCGAGGAGAGGGGCGTTTTCTAGCCCCAGTCCGAGGTGAAGCTCCTGGCTGAGGACCTTCAGGGCGTGAAGGCTGCCTGCATGGATGTGCCCACACTCTTTGTCAGGATGACAGCCCATGTCACCATTCTCACTCTGAGTCCAAGGAGGCGACCCATTTCCCTGCTCCATAGCACAGGGGCTACTGGTAACTGTTGCCATAGTCGTGATTACTTAGAAGGTCACTCCCAGGACAGTCTCCTCCACCCTACAGAAAAGTCACAAGGAATGGATACTCAGGAGTGAGAGACTGGAAGGCACAGATGGGACACCCACAGATGGGACACCCACAGATGAGACACCCACAGATGGGACACCCACAGATGGGACATCCACAGATGGGATACCCACAGATGGGACACCCACAGCGCCAGAAGAGCAGCGTCCCCTGGGATGCCCTGCAGAGGCCCGGGCCATGCACCACATCTGTGCTTGGTCCCCGCATGGCAGTGTCTGTGCACTGAGTCTCTCTGTGTTTGAGGCTGGTGTCTGGGTGCATAGAGAGTATTCTCGGCATCCTAACCCTTATAGTAGCTTTCACCAGTGCCCATAGGCCAGGGGTCACCACATTTTGGTCACTGACAGAACAGAAAGATTGTACTGACTCAGCCTGTCTGGGCGTGGATGAGAGACTGGCAGTGGGCAGCCTAGTTTGACCCAAAAGCTTCTGCTGCAGGTGGTGTGGCAGCATCATCCTGACAAGATCTGTCAGCCTGCTGGTGGCCCTGTGCCTCCCAAGAGCAGGATATCCCCATGGTCCCCTGGCCAGGACCTGGCTACAGCTCCAGCCTTTGAGTACAGCCAACCCCACCATCAAAATCCTTACGCTGTGAGGTCTCAGAATAAGTGAAGTCTGTTTTCTAGTTGGCTTTTCAAAACATCCAGCTTTTACAATTTATGGGGAATGATTCAGCCTGTGATGGAAATAACGACTCAATCACATGCCCATCAAGCCACCGGTGTGCAGGACACTCTGCCCAGCTTCAGGCCCACACAGTGGGGACAGACCAGGCTGCCTGCGTCCTCAGGGACCACAGTGGGCACAATTTCTGCTCATGAGCCTAGGTTCTGGGAGTCTCCGTGAATAGCATGCAGGCTGAGGGACACACAGCTCTGCCTTGGAGGAAAAGTCAGCCTTACTCTGAAAAAGCCTTGAACAGGTGACCTGGGCGCTGAGCCACTGAGCTGCCGGCTGGCCTGTGTCAGTGTGGGTGGGACCCACTCCTCAGTGTGAGCTCCCAGTGAGAGAAATTCTAGGCCAAACATTCAACTAGTAGGACCGTCAGGGTGTACATTGCCTCAGTTCCGGAACATGGTTGGACCGTCACAGTGTATTGCACCTCAGTTCGTGAATGTGGCTGTAGGGGGTGGGGAGCTGTGGGGTGGGAGGACGCCATCCCTGGAGGAGCGCCACATCTGAGCTGAGCTGCTCAGAGCAGCAGGGTCTCCAGAAGCCACTGGCCGGTGGGTCACCCTGGTTTGGGCTCCATCCCAGACACTTCCACCAGGACGTCTGAGGGAAACTGAGATGCCGGCCGGGGGGACAGTCTCCCGGTGGTCACCACACTCATCTGAGACACAATCACCCTCCCCCCACCCCCCGTGTGACTAGTTACCACTAATTACTACAGCATCGTGACTATCAGACTCACCACTTGAGGGCCCAGCAGACCAAGTGGTCTCATTTAGGAAATGTCCTTATGCTCCCAGACAGCATGTGCAGAGTTCCAACCAGCTCTAGCAGAAAGCCGGCCTGATGCACAGAAACCACTCGCGTGCACATCGACTGTGAACAAGGCCAACGGCCAGACCTGTTTGTTTTCTTGAACAGGGTCGACATTTTCCCTGAAACTTGTTGTAAGTAGCTTTTTTTTAATTTCTATGCAGCTCCAGGGAAGCTTCAATTTATCAAATTAGGACCCATTTCAATTCATGAGCTTGTAAGTCAATCTTACTGCATGGGAAGCTTGGAGCTGGTCCACGATTGGCACATAGCTGCAGGTGTTGGTGTGGAGCAGTTACAAGAGAGTAATTTAAGAAATAAATAAGTAAACCTCAGGAATTAAAGGAAGACGGTACTTGGAAAAAGCAAAATCCTGTGAAATCAGAACCATCACGCTGCTCTGTGGACTGTCGTTTGTAAGAGATCTTGGCATTCTGGGTCTACTTACTCCCCTCGCACGGCCATGTGGGGTATACGGCATTGAGGGTGGCTGGACGCGGACCTGCGGGGGTAAATCACAGATTTCTTACATTATCTTCTTCCTTAGGGCTCACACTCAGAAGGAAATCCTTGCAAGATCAATTTTTCCTCCACAACCTAATATCAAAGAAAGAAACCAAAAAGAAAGAGACTAAAATTTGAACACAAACAGCCATGTGTACAGTCCCCTCAGGGTGACGTGCTGGGGGTGTCTTCTCAGAGCTGACTGCACGCTGGGCCAGCTCTCCCTGTGGGCCTTCGCACCTGTGCCTCATCCACACTACCCAGGGACCCCTTTCCTAGATCACTCAAGTTGTATCTGTCAGTCTGTGGTGGTGAGGCCCCCTTACGTCGAAGATTGTAGGAAAATGCTCCGCCCAATCTATGTATCTTGGTATGGCCAATGAAATGGCAGTATCCCACAGGGACAGCCACTTTCCACGCTGCGTGGGTTCCCACGTGCTGGCAGCAATTGGCACCTCGGCCGGCACTAACATCGCTCTCAGAGGCATCCCTGTCGTGGTGACCTCCCCCCAGCAACACTGGGCTCATGGCCGGCACTAACATCGCTCTCAGAGGCATCCCTGTCGTGGTGACCTCCCCCCAGCAACACTGGGCTCGTGCTCACTGAAAGTGGGACATCGCAGGGCTGGACGGGAGCTGTATCACCTGCCAACACTGCGGGAATTGGATTAGTGGGAGTTGATCTCATATGCTGAGACCTCTCCAGGGAGAGGGGTGTGACCCAGTGACAATGGGAGTGGCTCTGGGAGTGACCCCAGGAGAGGCCCTGGGAGTGATCCTGAGGGTGGCCCTGGGAGAGGCCCTGGAAGTGACCCTGGGTGCTCTCTGGGCCTGGAAGTGACCCTGGCGCCGTGGAAGGGGGCCAGGGCTGGGGGTTGTGCTGTGGACGTGTCGTATCTAATTCCTCTCTTCCTTTCCTTAGGGAGGAAGAGACAGCCGCTCCGGGTCGCCCATGGCCAGACGCTGAGGCCCTGGCCTGGCCCGGAACCCTGCCCTCCGCTCCCGATGTAACTGCCTTAAAACTTTAATGCCCTTTGCCTCAGTCCCCGTTAGAGCAGACGGCCTCCCCCTAACGCCTTTTGGGTGTGCACACAGTAGTGCCAGGCACGCCGCATGGCACCCTACTAGCAACTTCTGCCCAACAGTAAAACGGAGAAAAAGAAAACAGAAAATGGCTAAAACCGTCACTTCACGTTTGAAGATTACGTTTCCCGGGAGTGTCCACTCCCTGACACGAGCCCCAGCAGCACCCGGGTCTCGGCAGGCCTGAGTGCACGGACGCCCCTCCAGGTCCACCCCTCCATCCTTGGACTTCCTTTTCACCTAACCACGGCCCCCGAGCTTCGCTGGGCACTGCCATGGCAACACACTGCTGCAGAGACAGAGAACGTGGCTGGCAGGAGGACTGTTGTGATCCAGGCTTCTTTGGTTTTCTTTTCCTGCCCTTCTCTCATTTCCTAAAGTGCCCTTTATTTTCCTAACAGGATTAGACAGTCAAGGAGTGGCTACTACCCATGGGAGCTTTTGGCATGTGAAACGCGGGCCCGGGCGGCTGTTAAGAGTCATGGTGGGCAGCCCAGAGAGGGGGGTGCGCCTCCAGGCCAGTGCTGCCCACCCACCCCACTTAGCTGAATTTGTGCATGGCAGGGAGAGGATAGGTAACAAGCATGGGCTGGGCACTGGCCTCACACAGGAAGTGGGGTCTGCTTGGAAACTGGGTGACGGAGATGACCTACACGTGGCCACGGGTTGTCACCGGAGCCCTGTACAGGGGCACCAGAGCAGCCTCCACAAACCATCTCGTTTCCAAACCAGTGCCCACAGCCAGGGAGTGCAGAGAGACTGGTGCGTCTCAGAGTAGAACCGCAGGAGTTCTCTGGTGGCCTCGCAGTGGTACACTGGTCACTTGTGGACAGTGGGTGTGGCCAGGTCAGCTTGCATGGCAGTGCACATTGGCAAACACTAACCCTCAGGGAGAAGATAACCTCTCACCTCCCAGCCTCCTAGAATAACCGGCCCAGTGAGCAGACTTAGGAGTGAGCTATTCCTGAATTATTGACCCCGCCGCGGCTGCAGGGCGAGGGAGAGCCTTCTGCAGTGCTCGGCTAATCTCAGCTCACGTCCCCTGGCCCCTCCTAACACACTGACCCTCTTTTGATTTTAGTGTGCCCTTTAGACTCCCAAGAACCCCACACGGCATCAGCCTCCCTCGGAAGCAAGGAGAGGAGAAGCTGCCATATGGCCGGCAGGCCCCTAACCCCCTAACTGAACGCCCGTGTGGGTTTAACGTAGCATCTATTAACACATAGCCTCAACGATGAGAGGGTAAGGAAAAAATCAAAAGGAACAAAATTCCAGAAACGAAACTTCCCACATGTTCACCACATAAGCACTCTGCACCCTCGAACGGGTTGTGGGCGCCGTGACCTCCACTCACGGCCGCAGCTTGTGCTGCGGTGACGTCCACCCACGGAGCACCTGCTCTCAAGTATTGAAATAAAATAATAAATGTTTAATGATGTCTGCGTGGGTATCTTGTGAGGTTTGCAGACTACACACCCCCACAAAGTGATGGTCGTGTCTCAAGAGTGAGTGAGCGTACATTGGGGTCAGGAGTTCCCAGGCCACCTGACAAGGCCATTTTGAGGGGCATTGGAATGAGGTGGTTGTGGGGCACCGGTCCTCTCTGACCTCTGACTGAGTCCCAAGGAGCACATTTTCCAGTCTCTGGACAAACTCTTGCTGGCGTGAACACCTTGCCCACGTGAACCCCGGGATCCTGGGGAATCGCTCCTGCCACATCCCCTCCAACAGACGACAACATTCTATGATTTTTTTCAAAAGACAAACTAGTCTCCATTTGAGTTTTAGTTTTTTGGTTCCTGCACATGTCTCTGTGGGGACTGTGGGACACGCCTGTGCCATGGGCTCTGGAGCAAGCGGGGACCCCGGGAGCCCATAAGCGCCAGACTCCTGGGTGGGCACCAAGGGCAGGGGCTCAGGAGCATGGCCCTGCCCGAGACCACTGCCCAGTCCGCCTCTCTCCACTTCCCTCCCTGCCCAGGGCCTTCTGCCTGAGGAATTTATATAATCATGAAAATATGATTACATTTTCAAAATTATATTCTTTTGATACTGTGTACATTAAAGAAATGCATTAAATGGTAACCTGAAGGCATATCCCAAAGTCAGCTGGCATTTCCATGAAATTGCAGTACTCAGGTCAATATTTTTAAGTAAAACAAAGCCTGGACGTGTGTTCCTGCTGACCATACGCCCAGGAGGTTGCATTTTTCCACAGCATTGACTGAAAGGTGGCTTGCCAGGCTGAGACCACTCTTCCCCAGTCAGCACTGGCTCAGCCAGACGGGCTGGCAGGGCCTCCAGAGCCCATGAGGATCTATGGGGCAGGATGAGCAGGAAAGTACCATGGCCTGGCCTGGTGGCCCACACCCACCTGCACAGCCACCACCAGTGGGCAGGAGACTCTGAGCAGAGAAGTGGCAACTGCATGGGGGACAGACTCAGTGGACAGCTGAAGGTAACTGCACGGGGGACAGACTCGGTGGACAGCTGAAGGTAACTGCACGGGGGACAGACTCAGTGGACAGCTGAAGGTAACTGCACGGGGGACAGACTCGGTGGACAGCTGAAGGTAACTGCACGGGGGACAGACTCGGTGGACAGTTGAAGGCACAGCCAGGTCAGTGTGGGCACGTGGCTGTAGGGACACAGGGGACAGACTCAGTGGACAGCTGAAAGTAACTGCACGGGGGACAGACTTGGTGGACAGCTGAAGGCACAGCAGGCCGGCATGGGCACCTGGCTGTGGGGGCCGAGGCACTGCAGTGAAGTACGGAACTGGGTGGAGGGAAAAACCATAAAACAGCAAACAAAAAGTTCTGTCACAGCAGCAATTTTACAAAAAAGAGCTAAGCCATGAATTAATCTCTGGTGTTCTATTGCCTGTTAAGGCTGCCACAGCAGAATACCACAGATGGAACAGCTTAAACCATAAACATGGTACTTTCTCCTGGTTCCGGAGGCCAGAAGTCTGAGATGGGGTGCTGGTGGGCAGGTTGTAGGAGGCCTCTGTCCTCAGCTTGCAGGCAGCCGTCTTCTTGCTGTGAGATCTCTGGTGTCTCCTCCTCACTGAGGACAGTAGGCCATAACCTGATGACCCAATTTAATCTTAACCACCCCTCACCGGCCCCATCTCTGAATACCATGAGTAGCACTGGGAGATACAACCTCAAAACCTATGGATTTGGGGGCGAGGGGACACACTTCTATCCATAACAGGTATACATTTATCTCAGGTGACCACAAATATCTTCAACCCCCCACTGAGCACAATGCTGCAGTGAAATTCTAAGACCACAGAGCTCCTGCCTCTACCCCACCAGTGGCGCACAGTGCAGCCTGGACACAGGGAGTCCGTGCTGAACAGCCCACGCCGCTGCCAACAGTGTGGTTTCCAGAGTGAGAATGGAGCAGCTTTCTCTGACGGCGTCTTCACTGGCTGTGGACAGTTGCTTGGTCAGAAACACACTCACTCCCACCACAATGCTATCCTTTCACCACCTTCAGGATGACTCCAGCCTTGCCCCAAAAGGACAGGGCAGGACCCTCTCCTTTCAACCTTCCCCCCACCAATTGTGTGAGAAGTCTCACGCTCACCCAGGTCCAGAGTCCCGGGAGCATCCAGAAAATTAGGAATCCTTCAGTTACGTCGAGCCTGAGCCAGGGCCTCCCCAGTTGTATGCCCAATTCCAGCCTCAGATTTAAATATTGCCAGAAGGCTGGAGGATGCCGGGTCAGCTCTGCTCTACAGCGCGGTGCCCCACGTGTGTCCATGGGCCTCTCAGCCTGCTGACCTTCCCAACCGTGGATTGTGGCAAATCACTTAAGATAATTTACTTAATCACCTAATCACTTAGGTGGCCTCTGCCACCTAAGTTGGGCAGCTCCCAGGTTTATCTATAACTGAGCAAGCAAGCTTTAGAGCCACAAGCAGGACAAGACCATTTGTCCTGCGCAGCGGTTGGGCGGTCAGGTGCTTGCCTAGAGACGTCAGTATTTGGGGGATACTGACGTCCTCCTTCCTTGCTTGAGGGCAGCAACAGCAAGGCAGCCTGTATGAAGCAGGGTTGAAGCTGATGGTCCCTGCCCAGAGGCTGGGTCAGGAAAGGGCCGGTGAGCAGCAGTATGGCAGGAGGCAGAGGCCCGGCCACTTGGTGCTGGGGCAGATCCAGAAGGGCTAGAAGAAACCCCGGGTGTCAGCTGGAGTTGGGAGGCCTAGTCTCATATGCAGAGTGAGTAATGCAGGGTTACAGCACGAAGGGTATGAGTGTGCACCTGCCACATAGGCACGCACACGTGCACCCACCACATGCGTACACCCACCACACGCACTCACGTGCACCCACCACTCACACATGTGCACCTACTTCACACAAACATGCACCTACCACACACACGTGTACACACACACATACACACGTACAGCTACCACAAAGACACATGTACCCACCACACACACATGCACCCACCACACACACATGTGCACCCACCACATGTGTGCACCCTCCACACACACATGCACCTACCACACAAACATGTGCACCTACCACACACTGCACCTGCCCCCCACACACATGTGCACCCACCACTTGTGCACCTGCCACACACGCACATACCGCAGTTCCTGCCTCTGCCCACTCTGAGCACGCCTACTCCTCAGGTCCTGGTTTCTAAGCACCAATCTCCACTAAGGGCATCAGGGCACTTTGAGGAAACAGCTGATTCCAGGGCTAAGAAAGAGAACAATTCACTGTGCCAGAAAGTAAGAAAGTCACCACATCAAAAACTCAAAAGCTCTCTTGAAGCAGCTCCTACAGGCAAAATCTTAGATTTATGAGTATAAAAATAAATAAGGGCACTAATGAATCATAGCCAATTGAACAAGATGGGAATGTCTGAGGCCAAACCAATATGAACACAATGTATAAAGGTGGGAGAAGACCCAGCTTTTCCTTAATCAAATGTTGACTGATAAATGTAGAAGGAACAATCTGACTGGCAGCTCTCCATTTGGAAGCAAAAAGACAGTATCCTGGCAGGCTGCGGGTGACAACAGAGAGGAGGAGGTCACAGTCTCAGAGCCGCCTCACAAAACACACATTGGTTATACAGGGAGCTGATCACAGGAATAAATCTGGCATCGCCTCGCAAGTGACCAACGAGAGCCTTGCCACGGGACAAATGCACACTGCATGTCACCTTGACAAGGCACCATCAGGGCGCAGCCTCACTTCTGCAACATCTCCCATCATGAAGTGTTGGATGAACAATGTGGACACAATTGCTGACTAACCCGTGGTTTTCAGAAATGTCAGGTAATGATAGCCAAGCAGTGAGGGGCACCATGCCAGTGGGCGGGATGTGGGACACGGCTGAGGGATGGGGCCCTGCTGCTTAGACATGGGGCAGGCCGAGGGACACAGCGAGGGGCGGGGAGCCCAGCGGGCCTGTCTGCATGGGGGCCCTGCTGCTCAGACATGGGGCAGGCCGAGGGATGGACGCAGCGGGGGCCGTGGAGCCCAGCGGGCCTGTCTGCGTGGGGGGCCTGCCGCTCAGACATGGGGCAGGCCGAGGGACGGACAC